AAATTTTCCACTAACAGCTATAACAATCACCAGTCTAATTATTTCATGTCTTGCTACAGGTGCAAACACTTCAAAGTAGTCTAAACCAGATTTATGTAGGAATCCTCTAGCTACTAACTTTGCTTTGTGTTTTTTGATTGATCCATCTAGATTTAGTTTCAACTTGTAAACCCATCTTACGCCGATGGATTTATTGTTCTTTAAAAGCTCAGTCAACTCCCAAGTCTTATTTCTTTATATAGCCTCAAGTTCTTTTTTCATGTCCTTCGACCAAACTTTCTTCTTGAGAGCTTCTTTATTGCTAAGTGGTTTAGAGTCTACCAACATGGCAAACTTAATGACTTTCCTTTCAGTTTCTATCTTAGTATCTTGCAACATGTTAAACTTTATAAATCTTCTTGGTATTTGTCTGATTTTTTGTGGTCTTTGGACTTGTTTAAAATCTTTTGCAAATGCTGGAACAATATCAGATGTTGGACTAAATTCAGAGGCATGACCACCTTCAGAAGGTTGATTATCACCAGAGTCTAAATCATCATGATAATCTAGATCAGAAACAGATTCGCCTTCGGACTACTCTTCAGCATCAAAATCTCCTTCAAAATCAGAAATGTCTTCAAAAGTTAACTCAGGTGTTAACACTGCACCGTAGTTGGATTGATAATTTTTCTAATCCCATGCTTCTAATTCTTTCACAATGACATCTCTGCTAAATTTAAATTTATTAGTGACAGAACAATAGAGCTTATAAGCCCATGTACTGTAGTAACCTACAAGCAACATAAATTTTCTTCTGTCATCCAACTTCATCCTCTTAGTGTATGATACATATTTATAATAGACAAAACCAAACACCTTCAGATGACTTAGACTTTGCTTATCTCCAGTCCACTTCTCTAAAGGAACAATTTCCTTCAGCTTCTTAGTTAGACATCTGTTGAGCATGTATGCTGAAGTGGCAACAGTTTCTCTCCATAAGGTGTGAGGAAGCTTCTTCTCCTTCAGCATGCTCCTTTTCATATCAAGTAAAGTTATATTTCTTCTTTCAGTAAGACCATTGTGCTGAAGAGTGTATGAAGCAGTAACCTCGTGCTCAATTTCATTCTCCTCACAAAACTTATTGAACTCTATAGAGTTGTACTCACCTCCACCATCAAGTCTGAAAATTGTTAGCTTCTGACCATTTTGTTTTTCAGCCTTCACCTTGAACTTATAAAACTCAGCAAACACCTCATGCTTAAACTTGACGAGTTCTACTCATTTCATTCTTGTGGGCTCATCCACAAAAGACACAAAGTACTTGTTACCTTTAAGTGAAGGTATTTCAAATGGTCCACATACATCAGAATATACTACTCCCAAAGCATATTTGTCTCTTAGGACCACTTCTGATGCAAATGGTAATCTAGGTTGCTTGTCTTTCATGCATATCTCACATGACGTCTCAGGCTTTACAATATTAGGAATTCCATGTACCAAATTCTTAGAACTCAGACGCCCTAAGCTTTTGAAGATCATATGTCCCAATCTCTTGTGCCACGGCTCACCGCCACCTTCAGCATCTTCTGCACTAAGGTATTTAATGTCAGATGTTTCTACATTCACATTGAATGTTTTGTTGCTTCCCTGTTTAGACTGCATAATCAACTTTTGATCAGAATCATACAACTTCAAGAGATTTTCCTTCATAATATCTGGAAAAACTTTCTCAATTAGCTGACTTACACTTATCATATTTTTCTTCATGCCAGGAACATACCAAGCATCCTTCACCAGAACAGTTTTTTCATTCATCAATCTGACCATGACATTTCACATTCTTTCAGCATTCAAATACTTATCATCAACACATCTGATTTGTGTCCTCTTTATAAAGTCAAAATTAACTAGTCATTGTTTGTTTCTAGCTAAGTGATTTTAACAGCCAATGTCCATATACCACCAATCTTCTGCATCTCCTGATGATGAACTTGTGTTATTAATGGCTTCTGAATCTCCTGGTGGATATTTGGTAGATTGGTGGTATATGGACATTGGCTGTTAAAATCACTTAACTAGAAACAAACAATGACTAGTTAGTTTTGACTTTATAAAGAGGACACAAATCAGATGTGTTGATGATAAGTATTTGAATGCTGAAAGAATGTGAAATGTCATGGATGGAAAAACTGTTCTGGTGAAGGATGCTTGGTATGTTCCTGGTATAAAGAAAAATATGATAAGTGTAGGTCAGCTAATTGAGAAAGTTTTTCCGGATATTATGATGGTCGTGGTTCTTATACAATAATCACACTTCTCATATTAATAGGCAATCACCGTGAACACACATATAGAAAGTAAGGGACTAAAGCTTCAAGAACTCCATTGAATCTTAACAAAGAAAAGTAAGCATACCAAAACTAATGATTTAGAAGACAATTTAAAAAGGATGAAATATACACCAAAAAACTAATAGTACAAAGATCGAGATGTTGCTAACAAGAATGACTTAAGTTGCAAGCCACATCTCGGTTGTGTTCGACCATGCTTGAGAGAAAATTATTTTCGCTTATGCTTATCAGTATATCAAATAACCCAGTAGCAGTGATGGCCCATAATAGAGTCTAATTTGTCCCCTCAACCTATTTATGAAGATTAAGGGTCATCAGATCAAGAACAATCTTATTGATGTGATGTCAGACTAATTATGTCATGTTTATGACGTCACTTCTCCAACTATATACCTAAAGAAGGTTATGAGACTTCAGAAACATTGGCAAAAATGCTGAAAGAAAACAAGGTATGAAAATGACAGCACAAATAATATTTTTTATGTCTCTTTGGACAACTATTATGCAAAAGAAGGTTCTAAGTCCCCTAAAACCGTATAATATGATTAAACAAGGAAAAGCAATATGTTTAATCAAGGCACACATTGTTTAACTAAAAATGCCTCCCAGTGTTAATAATCATTAACTTAAACGTTGAATTGTTAGTACGTAAGTAACCGCCCATCAACATCGAATCAAACATTGGATCATAACATAGCTCTTAGAAATTACATTAGATATGACATTTCTGGCAGCAACAAATCTAAATGTAAAAAAGTTTAAATTTAAACTCAATAATAATAATAATAATAATAATAATAATAATAATAATAATAATAATAATAATAATAATAATAATAATAATAATAATAATAATAATAGTGAGAATAATATTTGATTTGCCAAAAAATAAGGACGGGAAATGACAATATTTTTTATATCCTGTTTAATATTTAAAAAATTATCATGAGACAAAACAAAATATATGAAAAGGGATAGGACAAAAATATAAATTTTTGTTTCTTATTAGACAACTTTTTGTCCTGAATACAAATTATTAAAAAATATCAAAATATAATTTTAATATCTATCTATTTGATATTTTGATTTATAAATACAATATTAATACTTTATTTATTAATAAAAATATTTATAATAAAATTATATTATTTTTGCGTGATGCATAGACATATTAAATAAAGTTTTGAGTATTTTTTTTATTAATCATCTCCTTCTGATTATTTAAAATTTTAATTCATAAATATCAAGATTTTATATAAAAATAAAAACATTATAGTAAAAAATATATTATTTAGTGCATAAATATATTAAACAAAATATACAAAAAGTTGTCAAGTGCATTGACCATTAAACAGAATACAAAACAAAATATTATCTTGTATTGTTCTGTATTATCTAATACTGTTTAGGGATGTAAATGAATATCGATGGGGATGGATACTGTACTATTCGTATCCGCTCCATTAGATAAATATGATATTCATATACGTCTCATATCCATGTGGATATCCTTTAAGCGGGTAACATGTGGTTTTTATAATATCCGTGGATATTTACAGATATTCATTGATAATATTTTTTTTGAAAAAAATATTTTAACTTCTTTTAAAGACACAATAATTTATTATCATATAACATCGATACAATTTACTCTTAATTTAACAATAAAATTGCATCGCATTAATTTCCTTCTTATTCACCAAAACGTAATTAGATCCAAATATATTATCCATACATTTTATTTTTAATCAAACAAATAAAAAATATTGTGATTGTGAGTTATGATGGAAGAAAAGACAATAGAGGAGTAGGAAGGAAGACACTGGTTTGACAAAGGATCGACGACACTAGTTGGTTGGACTATAAAATTGCTGAAGTGACATATGAAGTAATGAGGAGTTTAAATATGAAATGACTAATCGAATTTAAAGGAAATGTAAAAGGTTTTCTTTAAAGAAAATTTCAAAAAAAATAATATATATATATATATATATATATATATATATATATATATATATATATATATATATATATATATATATATATATATATATATATATATATATATATATATATATATATATATATATATATATATATATATATATATATATATATATATATATATAAATTTCTTAGAAGAGAAAAGTATAAGATATAATAAATTAATAATATTTAAATAATTTTTATAATTTACTAACGGATATGAATATTCGTAGATACAGATATCATTAAATTCGTATTCACATTTATTTATTTTATCCATGAATATCTATTAAATTATCCGTCTCATATCTGTGACGGATTTTATCTATCAATTTTTTTCCATCCCTATTACTGTTTATTCAATACTTTTTATTTCACAAATCAAACACAAACTAAGAGTATTAGACAAGAAATAATTGATGCCTGCTATCACATTCGGTAGAAATTTTGGAAGAAATAAAAGTTGTAATGTTACTATTATTATTATTCAATGTTTGGAATCCAACCCAATTAGTTGCTTCTTCAAACTCAATTATTTCCACCATTCAAAGCAATGTTCTATTTACTTTCCCTTTTTAAATCCTTCTTGTCATTTTCACACACAAATAATTTGCACTATATAAGACGAACCCTCTTGCAAATCACAATTAGACAAATATAACCATTAGTACTCCTCTTTTGTCAATGGAAAAAAACAACAAAACAACCTCAAACTTCTCAATTTGTAGAAAAATCCGCCAACTACTTGCAACTAATCTTGCTTTCAAAACCGTTGTTCAAATGAAACAACAAAATCAAGAACCTAAGCCACAACAACAAATGAAGATAGTTAACATAGAAGGAGGAAGTGGAGGAGGAACAATCCCTATCACATTTGATTATTCCAAGGTAAGTGAACATACTTCAAAAATTACTTCACCACATGTCGGAATATCAGAAAGAAAAGGTGAGTCAGTTATCATTCAGAATTTGGCCCGGTCTAAAACAGTTACCACGGACGATGACCGAAATATAAATACTAAGCAAAAGATGATAGGTGAGAATTATAAAAGGAAATCTTTGAAGGTAGGGTTGGTGAACTTGGAGAAACAAGGTGAGAAATCATTAAATATTAATGATGCTTTTAGTGAGTACATTCAAAGTATTACTAACGGAATTGGAGCTGTGTCCAACGTTGGTAAGGGACATAACAACCATGTTCAAGATGAGGCTAATTCTTTCAAAAAGATGGAAAATCTGAATAATGATCATTTTTCAGATTTTATTTTGGAAACTAGGAAGAAAATTACAACAACATCAAATGTTGGAAAGACAAGTTCTTTGAAAAGAGGTTAAGATATTTAGTGTGAACATTCGTTTGGTGGTTTTCATTAATTATTCAATGTGTTGGGAATCTAATTATTATTATTCGTTGTTGAGTGGATTGGATTGGAAAGTTAAGGTTTTTAGTCTTTACTATATGAACTATACTAGGATATAAGTATGCTGTCTTTTTTTCTTCTTATTCTATTTGCTTATCCAATTGAAATTGGAAAGCATTATGGTAGCTACATACATACTATAAGTTATATAGTGATTTCTTATATTAAGTTGTTCATAATTATTAAGTTTTAATAAAGAAATTAGTATCAGAGTAAAAAAATATCATTACAAAAAAATAAAATTCTTGACATTATTCTATTTCAAATGTATAAAAAAATATTGTTTCCAAAAATGTATAAATGTATTATTAAAAAATTACAAAGATGAGCTTCTAAGCTCTTTCAATTCCATTCCAATTACAAATAAATTACAAATTAAATTTACATCAGATAATTTTAGGGAATCTTCTATTTTCAAGTTAATTCTTTTTCTTTTATTTGGCTTTTTTTTTTTCATTTTTATGTCTCAACACCAACGTCACTGCATCATTACAATTTGTTTCTACCATTCATGCTTTTTTCTTTACCTACCACCGCCATCTCATCAACTGTGACTGCATCAAAAGTTTGTTTCTACCATACATGCATTTTTTTACATCCCGCCACCATCTCTCATCAACATGTAATTTTGACATCTTCTACAAACCTTAATCTAATTTTTTTTAGTATAAATGGAATGCAAATTCATAACAGAAAAAAATAGAATTCAAATTTATAAAAAGATGTAGACCAAAGATCAAATTTTCAATTAGTGATAAAAGTGTTTAGACACCTTTAAATAATGTACTTGTAGTATTGACTGCGTAACACCCTTATACTTATAAGGGTGGTATGAGGTCTTAGTAGTATTTTAGGAGTTAGGACTTATTCATAGTGACGAAAGATCCTGTTTGATAGTGTCTACGATGATGAGAGAATAAATTCACGTGAGGTGAGAAGTTTTGTAGTTTTAGAGGGTATATTGTGTCTATTGCGATATGTGATCTTCCCGTGTTAGGAATGTGATATTTATCGAGGTTCTGGAGCATGCAGTTAGGGTTTTCTTAGGAACGATAATCGTTTACTTAGTGGTGGACCGTTGAACCCTTATATTCTAGAGAGACGTTGATTAGCATGTTGACCCTGACTTTTCTCTGACTAAGTGACAACTTTTTCCACGTTTCCCAAGACTGGGCGAGTAGGGAGTGTTTAGGGCGAGGTAATCTTTAATTGCGGGCAGAAGATGGAATTCGCCTCTCATAGACACTTCTAATCCTCCCGCCCTTAATAGGTCACTTACAAATATATCACTACATAGTCCCTCAAGCACAAGTGTTTTGATAAAGGGTGAAGTGCTTTGAATGACAGAGCGTTGGGGAAATCTGTCTGATTAGACCCTATGTTCCTCAAGTGAGGTTATATGATGAGCCCGTGTAATGAGACTCCAAGTCCCTCACATGAAGCTGTTGATCTGAGATTTTCTGTCTAATAGGAAAATTAGGTCAATGTTGTATTTGGTGAAATACTAAGTGTAACAAGTGATGTACAAGAGTCGATAGTGACAGCACGTCGACTAAATGGTCTCGACTGCCATTTTGAGATGTTAGTTTGAGAAAATCTTGATATATCTTGAGATATTAAGTGAATAAGTCTCAGGAGTAGACCTAAATGATCACTTGATACCATGTCGAGAGACGGCTCTCCGGCAGACGATAGATACTTAAGAGGATTGAGAAAACCAAAGGAAAATGGTGTTGTGCGTTGTGACTGCCTTCGACGAGCAAGCAGTTGCCAACCTCTAGCAGTTAGAGTACGTAGGATAATGGTTTCAACAGTTTCTGAGCCTTAACAACGTGGCAAGCCATGGAGTTAAAAGTTACATGCCTTCGAATGACATGTCAATTTCTGTAGAGTTAAACTGTCGAAGACAATCATTCCTAGTTAGTATTTATAGAAGGCTCATATCTTGTAATAGGGGGCTCGCAAGTTTTCACATACAATTCTCTATAAAACTAGAACCACTTGTTACAAATGTTACTACGACAGGGATAATGAATATCATCGGGGTAATGTCGCACCTCGAAAATTTATTCGAACATACGACCCTCGCGCTAAAGGCACGTAAATGCGGTTCGACAGAGTCGCCACCAAACTTTATTTATCCCGAATAAATAGGAGAGGAAAATATCGAGAAAACCTCTTAGAACGAAAGGAACAAGGGCGTCGCAACCTGATGTTCCGGGTTTGGGAGTCGATTACGCAAGGGGAAGGTATTAGCACCCCTCACGTCCGTTGTATTCAACGGGAACATCTTAATTTGGATTGTGATGAGCATTAGCTAAGCTTAGTCGTTCTCTTCTCAATACTAAATGCTAAACGATACTATGAAGGGATAGAGGCGATAAAGGGAAATGAGTGGTTATAGGATAGGGTGCTCGTCAAGGATTGGGGTCCTTGTGCAAACGTATGCTCATTTGGACGAGAATGAGAAATCAGAGCGTCGTAGCTCGCATACAGGAAAGGATAGGAAGAATTGTTGACGGAATAACGGAGAAAGATAGAAGTGTGGAATAGTGGAGAAAAATGGAAATGTGCTCGTCAAGATTATCGCAATCTTGTGCCTACGTATCTTACATTCAGACGAGAATAAAGAATCAGAGCGTTTGTAGTTCATGGTAACAACCACGAAAAGTAATGAAAATGACCCAAATGGTCATTTTCCATAGATTTGAAATTGTGAAGCTTATTGACTTCGATAAACCGACGCTTACGAATCGAAAGACTTCATAGATCGAGAAAATGTAAATAAAATAAAAAATGAAGAAGAAATTGAAAGAGAAAATAAAGGTGGACTCGGACAAACCGTTATCTATCAATAATTTGACCGATAATGATTTTAGAGGTCTCGTCATTGACCGTAAACGATAAAAAGAATAAAAATGAATAAAAATTGAAAATGAAAATGAAAAGAAAAAATTGGTCTCAGATTTATTGTTTTTCATCAATAATTTGACGAAAAACAATTTTGAGGTCTCTTCATTAATCCAATAGTCGAAAATAAAAAGAATCAGAATAAAAATGATAAAATAAAATAGAAAATAAAGATAAAAAGAATTAAATGGGAGAAAGAGGGGTGTATGGTTCATGTGGGGTGGTAGAATCATATGGGCTTCCAAAAAGCCCATCATCTACTCACAAAAACCTCACGCGACAAAAAATAAGATCAAGAAAGGGTGAATCTTGATTAACCGTGACATTAAGGAAATTTTACCCCATACCCATACACTTATACCTATACCCCTACATTAAATTTTTTTGGACCAAAATATCTTCGTATACAAATTTATTATTTTTTTTCATTTATTTACGGGAAGACTTTTTGCAAGTCTTCCGGTTCATATTTTTTTATTTGTTCACCGAAAGACTTTTTGGAAGTCTTCCGGTTCACATTTTTTTCGTTTGTTTACCGCAAGACTTTTTGGAACTCTTCCGGTTCATATTTTTTTTAGTTTGTTCACCGGAAGACTTTTTTGGAAGTCTTCCGGTTCATTTTTTTTTAATTTTTAATTAATATTTAAGATTTATTACTTTTATATAAAGAACAATTTAGTGAATTTTTGAATATTATACTTAAAATCTAAAAATTCTATAAATAGAAAATCATTTTTAGAATATTTTTTATTTGCTATAATTATTAGAATACTATGAGATTAAAATAATTTATTTTAAATGATCATAATAGTAAAATTTTCTCAAATATCTTATTAATCATAAACATTAATAAATAAAATAAATTTAAATATAGGATATAAGTTTACATTATTCAATATATTTAATCAAATGAAAACATATGTGATAAATCAATAATGTATTTTAATTTAAAATGATCACAATAAGTTAACTTGCAAAATAATATAAGTAATAAATTAATAATTTATTTTATTTAAAATAATCACAATAATAGAACAAGCAAATAATGTGTTTTATTTATAGGACTGATATAGTTTTATTGATTATTTAATTTTGAATACTACTATGAATATAATATTTAATCTATACTTTAGAACTCACATAATTATAAATATAAAACAATATTGTTTTATTACCCATATTTTTATTTAATTAAAAAAATTAAGAATATAAATTTATTATTTGTTTTTCATTTTTATTTGATCTTTTTTTATTTATAAATTTTTTGCATGTTCTATATTGTGCTTACTTTAAATAAAATATATTATTTATTTATATCTTATATTTTTATTTTATTAAAAATATTAAATAAAGTGAAATTATTACTTATATTTTAATTTGGTTGATTTGTTTAATTGAAAGTTCGATTTAGTTTTTGTTTTTTTGCAAGTTATATTATTGTGATCATTTTAAATTAAAATACATTATTGATTTATAACATATGTTTTCATTTTATTAAATATATTGAATACGATAAATTTGCAAGTTTAGTAAGATTTGTTTGCGAATTCTAAATATATAATATAATGTGATAATATTATGATAATTATAGCAAATAGAAAATATTTCTAAATTTTGTTTTTTATTTATAGAATTTTTATATATTAAGCATAATAGATAAAAATTTACTAAAATGGTATTTATATGAAATTAATAAATCTATTATGCTTAATATATAAAAATTCTATAAATAAAATTTATTTTTTTTAGAAATATTTTCTATTTGCTATAATTATCATAATATTATCACATTAGTATTATATATTTAGAATTTGCAAACAAATCTTACTAAACTTGCAAATTTACAGTATTCAATATATTTAATCAAATGAAAATATATGTAATAAATCAATAATGTATTTTAATTTAAAATGATCACAATAATATAACTTGAAAAAAAAAACTAAATCGAACTTTCAATTAAATAAATCAACCAAATTAAAATATAAGTAATAATTTCACTTT